CTATTGTCCTCATGTTTGTCGCCATGTTTATCACAACGTTTCAGCCTTTCAGTATCTGTCTATATTTCTGAGAGAAGGAATTATGTACTATATTTACATTATTCGGACTATTGTCCTCATCTTTGTCGCCATATTTATTACAACGTTTTGGCCGTTGTACGCTCAGGTCTTCTTCAGGTGGTTGGACTGTCGAACTGAACCCTTTATTTCGCTCAGTGAGGTAGACTGTTCTAGTTCAACGTGCCATGTTTAATGGATGTCACTTATCAGTTATCTTCTGTTAATTTCCCTCTGAATGTTCTCCACTGCCTTAACCGGGTATTGCACTCACACTGTTTGAGTCCTGTCACTGGATCTAACCAACGCCTTTATCCACTCTGCCATGAATCTTTCATCATGAATGTCATCCATAGCACCAATCTCTTTCAGAAGTCTAAAATTGCTGTCTCTCAGTATTAGTGGTTCCAACCAATTTTGAGCCATGTCCCACTTTGGTATTTCTAAAATTCTTGTCCATTTCTCTAATATTTAATTCTTACATATTTAAAATTTTACTGCAATTCAAGAAAGCTTAAAATTCCATTAACTTGGTCTCTAAACGAACCTCCAAAAACCATGGCGTCCATGAATGAGAAAAATTTTAAAAAAGCAAAAAGACAGATAAATATATATATATATATAATTTCAAAACATATAATAAAGAACTGAAAGGCAGGAATATAAAATATTTGAACGAAAGTTTATTCTGTAATATACTTTGATCATTTTAATCATGAAATAATAATGCAAAATGAAATTTGAGCTCACGTTGATATAGTAAGCCATCCTACCCATGTCCCACTAAAATATTATCATGCCTCACGGGTGGCGTATGCGCCCCACATTGGGAATCATTGTTCTATATTTTAATTATTTTACCCTAAAGCAAAATATTAATGCCTCTAGTACGTAGGGGGGGGGGTTACAAGAAACGAAAGTGAAAGAGATGACTGAAAATGGGATTTATTCGTAGGTACGAGGAGTAACGGAAAATTTTAGTTACAACAGACAGTTGGGAATAAAAGAAAATTATTATCTAAATTATTTAAATTTCGACTGATGTCCTCCTGAGAATTTTAACCCGAATGTAAACAATTTAAATAATGATAACTACACATACCTTAAATACAAATGTTGAATCTATTTTTATTTATAATTGTATTTGCTCTTTCCGGAAGATATACGTCTATCACTAATGGCTCTTGTATCCGATTTTACGGAAGGCAATCAAGGTCGGTGTACGTATGTTCAGTAGCGATGAATTTTAATGACTATTGGCAAAAAAAATGGAAGAAAATTATTATTTATATTATTTGCATTGAGACTAATGTCCGACTGGCAACGTTATAATAAAAATAATGATATCTCCTTATACCAACACTCAGACAGAAAAGAAAATACTCTTTTGCCGGCAAAAAAAAAAGGCAAAAAAAAAGGTAACATTTCGCTATTAAGATTTTTCTGTTTGACATTTTCACTTCGGGTTTCTGCAGTAGCTCTTTGTTATTGATGAATATATATATATATATATATATATATATATATGAAGAAAAATATATACGGAAAAAACAAACAAAAATCCTTATATGCAATTATGCTGCTTTAATGTTAATATATCAACGTCAGACGTTTCGGTCTGATAAACCATCTTCAGGACATATTCATAACTTATAACATTATCAATACAACATGACAAAGACGATGTACATAAGAACAAGACTTATCCAAACAGATAACTGAAAGTTTAATAAGATCAGCGCTCCGTTTAAACATGGTCACGTTGTCGTCACGTGGGCGACGCTGTGAAAATGTATTCCTAAAATTTGAGTATTTTGAATGAAAAATGAAAAGAATTCTATTTTGATCTAAAATTTATATGTCCGCTTGTCAAGCATTAATCTCGCTAGAAAAGGGGAAATACTAAAGAAGTCAGGTCTAGTATTCACCGTGCGTGAGATGGATATTATGCCTGCTTCATAATATGGGGGGTGCTTTACTTAAAAGGGAAAATAGAGCCTTACTGAAATGTGATGTTCTCTGTAGACACATGGTAAAGCACAATCCTCTTTCTCTGTTAGTTATAAACTATTATTTCTACATACGCTATACTACTGTTACTCTTACGCAACTCACTACTACAAGTACTAATACTAATAACGTCGAAATATAATCAATTAAATTTTTTTTTAAATTGTGAGTTAGTATCATTCCGGCTATTTATACGGAAATATAATTGTGATAATTGCATTTAAATGTGTTAAACAGATTAGGAACTCCCACATTTTGTTTCGACCGACGATTTTTCAACTGAGTAAAACAACTGGAACACGCAACTGACAGGTGTTTCTTGTTACTCAGGTGTTGCCATTTAGACTGGTTGTTTAAACATTAAATAGTTCTGAATGATTACTCGTGGCTTTTAGCTATAATTTGGTCAAAAAGTAGTAAATATTATTTCTACATAAGCTATACCACTATTAATCTTATGCAACTCACAACTACAAATAGTAATAATAATACAGCCGAAATAAGACCAAAGAAACTTTAAAAGTAATTATCATCCTGGCTATTTATAATGTATTATTAAAACCCCATAAGCACTCAAATTCCTACTCTTGTATATAACTTATGTAAAAGTCTAAACAAACTGATCCAACCCCAATCATATATATATATATATATATATATATATATATATATATATATATATATATATATATATATGTTCTGCTAGCTACAAACAGACTGTTTCGGTGTATTGCAGCTCATCAGTGTATAGAACTCCGATCGCTTCTAGCTGGGAGCGATACCCGACCGATTTGGCATAATTTGGAGATTCTAACCCTAGGCTATCGACGCCCGGCACGAAGAAATATATAAATTTTTATATATTTATTTTTAAAATAACCACGTCAGTGACCTAGTGAACACAATCAGTTGGGAGTGTATTGCATTATCAGCAGCAGTAGTCACTGTCTACAAATTCATGCTTTCTCCCTACAGTACTCGGAATATTTGAATCAACATTCTCTCTCTTTCTCTCTCTCTCTCTCTCTCTCCTCTCTCTCTCTCTCTCTCTCTATCTATATATATATATATATATATATATATATATATATATATATATATATATATATATATATATATATATATATATTTCAGTGCCCCCACTGTTACAGACTCTGTATATATATATATATATATATATATATATATATATATATATATATATATATATATATATATATATATATATATATACGTATAGCTTTCCTTAAGAGAAAAACTGTGACGCTCTCTCTTGTCAAATGGGATAGCACGCTGGAAAAAAACATGGTAATTTATGTGTCATGAGAGAATACATATATTAAAAAATGTTTATAATATTTTGCTATACTGTGTATCGAGCACTGTTTTTAAAAATAAATGTAAAAGAAATCCGAATTATAAATCTGAGTCTTTTCATTTTGAAATATATATATATATATATATATATATACATTCAGTTGTCTGTTTTGATTAGTCTTACTCTTATGTCCATCGTGATGATCGGAAATTTTGATAAATATCTTCAATTACGGCTTGAATAGAGCTAGGAATTGTTGGCCGTAATGAAGTTGTAGAGGTATAATTTTTAGGGTTTGTTTATCAAACAAGGGGTGCGTATTATGCGTGAGTAAAAAGCATTTTCCCACAATTTCAGCAGAATTTTAGGGTACGTATTATGGATGAAGGCGTATTATACATGGATGGGGAATTATATATATATATATATATATATATATATATATATATATATATATATATATATATATATATATATAACAAAATGGATTTAAATCCGACAGGATTCAAATATTTGTATCGCATATATATATATATTCCTCTCAACATCTCTTTCTCTACAGTTTTGTTAAATTCCTTCTTCCATCGCTTTATTTATCACTCTTTATTTTTCCTCGTACAATCACAGAAGTTAAGCAACATCGAGCCTAGTCATTACGTAGATGGGTGATGTGCTTGGGAATATCAGATGGTTTATGTTTCGATGTGCAGGTGGTGTAATGGATAATGGTTTTGGAATTGTTAATCAGAGAGCAGAGTTCAAATTTCATTTGGGTCCGTTATATTCACTTAGGCGCAAATACCCTTTGGAATGGTGTGAATCCACATCTTCTGGCTAGGTATGGATTAATTCGTAAAACTTGGATCAGTAAATCATCATTATCTCCAAAGAAAAAAAAATACGATCTAAAAATATTTTCTGGTTTTAAATCAGCTGCAATGGGTTGATAAACCGTAAAATAACTAATGAATCAAACTTTCTTTTATTATTTGTCTATCTCGCCTATGTATTCCTTCTTTTTTTTATTTCAAATCAAACCTGTTTAAGTTTTCATTCATTATTTACTTCTCTTTATTTTTATATACCGTTTATATTTCTTTTCTTATATAGCGCTCTCGTTTATTTTTCTTATGTTTTTTTCTTCTTTTCTTTCTTTCCATTCTTTTTTTTCTTTTCTTCTCCGTTCGCTTTATTCTTTCCTTTTTTCCTTTTTTTATGGCTTTCATTTTTTTTTCTTTTTTTCTTTTGCTTTTATTCTTTTTTATTTTACCTCCGTTTATCCTGCCTTTCTTCTTCCTTCTTTCTCGCTTCTCTTCTTTTCACGGCTTTGCATACCAATTTCTTTCTTTCTTTCTTTCTTTCTTTCTTTCTTTCTTTGTTTTTTAATTTCATTCTTTCTTTCCCTCTTTCTTTCCTTCTTTCATTAACTTTTTCATTCCTTCTACCTTTCCTTTTTTCATTCTTTTATTCTATGTTTGCTTGCTTGATTGTATCTTTTTTCTTCCTTTCTTTCTTAATTTCCTTCTTTCTTTTTTAATTTCCTTCTTTCTTTCCCTGTTTCTTTCTTTTATTCTGTGTTTGTTTGTTTGTTTGTTTCTTATTATCTTTATTTTCTATGTTTCTTTCTTTCTTATTTTCCTTCTTTTTTCTCTCTTTCTTTCCTTCTTTCTTTTCCTCTTTCTTTCTATCTTTGTTTGCTTGTTTCTTTTTTCTTTCTTTTTCATTTTCTTTCTTTCCCTCTTTCTTTCCTTCTTTCTTTCTTTCCTCCTTTTTTATTTTCCTTTTTTCTTTCTTTCCCTCTTTTTCCTTTTTTCTTTGCTTCTTTCTGTTATTCTATCTTTGTTTGCTTGTTTGTTTGTTTCTTTCTTTACTTCTTTCTTTCTTTCTTTATTTATTTTCTTTTTTCCTTCCTTCTTTATTAATTTCTTTCTTTCTTTCTTTCTTTCTTAATTTCATTCTTTCTCCCCTCTTTCCTTCCTTCTTTCTTTTTTTTATTCCATCTTTGTTTGTTTGCTTCTTTCTTTCATTCTTTCTTTCTTTTTACCTCTTTCTGCTGTGGATTTTATACCCTCTCTTCTTTCCTGTCGCTCTTTCTCCTCCCCTATTACGTCATTTATTCACACTTAATCGCATTACGAAAATCAAGTAAAGTCCTTAAGTTCCGAGATATTTGCAGGCTGGCTTGTCGATTTTCAATGAAAAAGTTTGAAACGGTTACATGTGTATTGTGATTCTTTGCTATTTTTTAATGCTCTTGTTTTGCTAAGCTTGTTTTCAATCGTTAATATTACGACTTTATATGCCATTTCATCAGGCCCGTAGCAACAACGTACGCATGTCGGTAAAGACTTTATTATATATAAAGATCCCTAGAATTCTTAAAAGTGAGATTAAATTTTGGCATCTTTCGTACTTTTTTCTACGATTCATTGTGTTTTATGTCACAGAGGATAGTGACGATTAAAATCGTTTCACAGAAGGTTTACTGTAATTATTAAAGAGCGAAATGGCTGCCTTGAACGGTTTGATCTATCTATTTCTATCTATCTATCTATCTATCTATCATTCTATCTATCTTGGTCTGTCTCCCTTTCTCTCTCTCTTAAATCCTTTTATTACCTGTTTATCTATCTATCTATCTATCTATCTATCTATCTATCTATCTATCTTTGTCAGTTTTCCTCTCCTCTGACGTAGATGCTTTTCTGATCTATCTATCTATCTATCTATCTATCTATCTATCTATCTATCTATCTCAATTTTTCATATGTATCTTAATTTTATTTAATGATATCTATCTAGCTATCTAGTTCAATTTGTCCATATCTTCATCTATCTATCTATCTATCTATCTATCTATCTATCTATCTATCCCAGGCTGTACATTATCTATCTATCTATCTATCTATCTATCTATCTATCTATCTATCTATCTCAATTTTTCATATGTATCTTAATTTTATTTAATGATATCTATCTAGCTATCTAGTTCAATTTGTCCATATTCATCTATCTATCTATCTATCTATCTATCTATCTATCTATCTATCTATCTATCTATCTATCCCAGGCTGTACATTATCTATCTATCTATCTATCTATCTATCTATCTATCTATCTATGATACGAAGTGACCAAGGGCAATGCATAGAGAGACTAACTCTCCTGACTGACTCGTGTGTTCGACTCTGAAAATCGTTTGAAATTTTCATAATAATAATTTTCCGATGTATTTTCATCACAGAATCATTTTCATTGCTTTTTCAAAGCAAGATTATTTGCTATGCATTTTCATTGTAAAATCATTTGTAATAAATTATTTAATAAAATCATTTTCGCTGCATTTTCTATCTCTGCTCCCCACCCCATCTCTCTTATATTCTGTTCATATCTATCATAAATATGTAATTCCACGGTAAGACATATTAATCATTGTTTGTTCATTATTAGAAATATTCCGTCTAGCGTTCTCCTGAAGGAATTACTGCGTTGGAACAAAACTTTATACCATTTTAATTTTATATTACCAACTGTAAATTTGGGGGCAGCCTCATAGTTTTATTGCAAACGATTTTAAGGAATTTTTCTCTGGAAAGAATTTATATGTTTCTCAACTCAGTCCTTTGAGTTCTAAATTGGACAGAAAGTCGCTTGATAAATCAGTAAAGAATATTCTAATATCAGATGAGACTTGATTTGAAAAGGTTTCTTTGCTTTTGTATTTCTGAATAGTTTGATGTACAAATTCATTTCTGTTTTCAATGTCCATTTTGCTGTTTTGGTAACTTCCAGTTTTACATTAGGGGTTTTCTAAGCGTAGCTTAGATATGGCACAGGGCCTAAAATATGGGTCTCCCAGTGTTGAAGCTTGGATAAGCATGGAATAATAATAATACAACACAAAATGTACGTAAACAAAATGTATTGAAACAAGGAAAAGGTACACAATATTTACAGTTAGTTTTGGTATATTCTTGGTAAGACTGTTCCTGTAGAATGGGTTGACTTAATCGCAGTCGGGCAGAGTCTCTGGATTGGATCTCTTGATCCTCCCCCCGTCTTCCCGGTACCAATCCATATTTATATGGTCGGTACTCCACTATGCAAATTAGGTGGATCGTACCACAACACCCAGTGAAGATCGAACTCACTTTTCAGTGTTAAATGATCTATCGAGGTAGGCTTACTAACCATAACACTAAGTTGAAGGAAGGAAAAAAGAATCAAAACAAAGATAGAATAAAAGAAAGAAAGAAAGAAAGAAATTAAAGACAGGAAGAAAGAATCAAGAAAGAAAGAAAAGAAAGAGGGAACGAAAGAAGGAAATTAAGAAAGAAAGAAGAAAATTAAAGACAAAAAGAAAGAAAAAGAAAGAAAAAAAGAGGGAAAGAAAGGAGGAAATTAAAGAAAGAAAAGAAAAAGAATGAAGAAAGAAAAAGAAAGAAAAAAAGGAAACGAAAAGAAAGAAAGAAGGTAAAAGAAAAAGAAAAAGGAAAGAAAGAAGGAAATTAACGAAAGAAAGAAAGAAGGTAATTAAGAAAAAAAAGAAAGAAAGAAAGAAAAAGAAAAAAGAGGGAAAGAAAGAAGGAAATTAACGAAAAAAAAAAAAATTAAGAAAGGTAATTAAGAAAGAAAAGAAAAAAAGAAAGAAAGAAAAAGAAAGAAAGAAAAGAAAAAAGAAAATTAGAAAAAAAAGAAAGAAAGAAGGAAATTAAGAAAGAAAAAAGAAAATTAAGAAAAAGAAAAAGAAAGAAAGAAAGAAAGAGGGAAAGAAAGAAGGAAATTAACGAAAGAAAGAAAGAAGGTAATTAAGAAAGAAAAAGAAAGAAAGAAAGAAAAAAAGAAAAGAAAGAAGGAAAGAAAGAAGGAAAAAGAAGGAAAAACGAAAAGAAAGAAGGTAATTAAGAAAGAAAAAGAAAGAAAAGAAAGAAAGGAAAAGAAAGAAGGAAATTAACGGAAAGAAAGAAAGAAGGTAATTAAGAAAAAAAAAAGAAAGAAAGAAAGAAAGAGGAAAGAAAGAAAGAAAAGAAAAAAAAAAGAAAGAAAAAAGGAAAGAAAGAAAGAAGGAAATTAACGACAGAAAGAAAGAAAGAAGGTAATTAAGAAAGAAAAAAAAGAAAGAAAGAAAGAAAAAAGGAACGAAAGAAAGAAGGAAAGAAAGATGGAAAGAAAGAAGGAAATTAACGAAAGAAAGAAAGGTAATTAAGAAAGAAAAGAAAGAAAGAAAGAAAAGAAAGAGGGAAAGAAAGAAGGAAATTAACGAAAGAAAAAAGAAAGTAAAAAGAAAAGAAAGAAAGAAAGGAAATTAAGAAAGAAAAAAAGAAGGAAATTAACGAAAGAAAGAAAAAGGTAAGAAAAAGAAAAAAAAAAGAAAGAAAGAAGAAAGAAAGAAATTAACGAAAAAAAAGGAAAGAAAAAAGGAAATTAAAGAAAGAGGAAAGAAAGAAAGAAAAGAAGGAAATTAACGAAAGAAAGAAAAAAAAGAAAGAAAGGAAAAAAGAAAGAAAGAGGGAAAGAAAGAAGGAAATTAACGAAAGAAAGAAAGAAGGTAATTAAGAAAGAAAAAGAAAGAAAGAAAAGAAAGAGGGAAAGAAAGAAGGAAATTAACGAAAGAAAGAAAGAAGGTAATTAAGAAAGAAAAAGAAAGAAAGAAAGAAAGAGGGAAAGAAAGAGGGAAAGAAAGAAGGAAATTAACGAAAGAAAGAAGGTAATTAAGAAAGAAAAAGAAAGAAAGAAAGAAAGAAAGAGGGAAAGAAAGAAAGAAAAGAAAAAAGAAAGAAAAAAAAAAGAAAGAAAAGAAAGAAAGAGGGAAAGAAAGAAGAAAACGAAAGAAAGAAGGTAATTAAGAAAGAAAAAAAGAAAGAAAGAAAGAAAAAGAAAGAAAGAAGGAAATTAACGAAAGAAAGAAAGAAAATTAAAAAGAAAAAGAAAGAAAGAAAAGGAAAAAAGAAAAAAGAAAATTAAGAAAAAAAAGAAAAGAAAGAAAGAAAGAAAAGAAAGAAAGGAAATTAACGAAAGAAAGAAAAAGAAGGTAATTAAGAAAGAAAAAAAGAAAAAAAGAGGGAAAGAAAGAAGGAAATTAACGAAAGAAAGAAAGAAGGTAATTAACGAAAGAAAAAAGAAAGAAAAAGAAAAGAAGGTAATTAACGACAGAAAAAAAGAAAGAAAGAAAAGTAAAAGAAAGAAAAAGAAAGAAAGAAGGAAAAGGAAAAAAGAAAGAAGAAAGAAAAGAAAGAAGAAATTAACGAAAGAAAAAGAAGGTAATTAAGAAAGAAAAAGAAAGAAAGAAAGAAAGAAAGAGCGAAAGAAAGAAGGAAATTAAGAAAGAAAAAAAAGAAAGAAAGAAGGACGTTATCAATCTCAATTTTACTATAGTTCACCAAGCATTCTATCCCAAACCCCAAACAAATCTATTAATAGAAAACAACGTTAACTATTTCCCTTCCGAGGTCAATATTTCCCTTCCGAGGTCAATATTTCCCTTCCGAGGTCAATATTTCTCTTCCGAGGTCAATATACTAATGATAAGTTGCGCTATGCCGATTAAATAAGTATTCATTGGTGGGATAAGCAAGATCTTGAATTAAAAAAAAAATCAACATTGTCAACAAATTAATCGAAGAAATAGGACTCAAAATAACATTTTTCCAAAACAAAAACGATGATCTGGAATTCGAATGAAAGAAGAATCGTCTGCACTAGGGATAGTTTCATCAAACACCGGATATAAATGACGAATATTTCCTTATAAGGAAACGTCTAGCAATACAATTACCAAAAACTCTTGGCCTTGGAACTTCACGACCTATAGAAAAAGTTTATAGGAAAATCATAAAAAAGGAAGTTTCACTTTCAGAGATGTAATGATGTAATGAGACTGAATATATATATATATATATATATATATATATATATATATATATAATATATAAGAACTTGGTAAACCGAATGGGTAATTCCAAGGACGATGAAATCCTGAGAGCTCAATGTGAATACAGAGCTAATATTTAATGAAAAAACAGACCACTTTAAGATACCATTACAATAATTTATTTCAACAAAATCATTTTTAAAGGACTCCGGATCATCAGGTAACACTTCCAACAACGAAATGAAAGGAAAAATGGGATTAGAAATTGATGGGTAGTG